ATAACTGAGACCTGGCTGGGCCAGGAGGGGGGTGTTCCCCTCTCAGAGATGTGCCCAGACAGGTGTCAGATACTGCATCAGCCGCGACTCCAGGAAAGAGGTGGAGGAGTGGCAGTCATTGTCCATAACAGTCTTTGCCCTCACAGGATCCCTGCCCCGGAGATTGTCAGATGTGAATCACTCCTCCTGAGGTTGGACTCAAGGGTTCAGTTGAGTTTGTTGTTGACATACCTGCCTCCCAGCTACATTACAACATCCCTACCTGGGCTACTAGAGGCAGTAGCCAGGTTGGCGGTGGAGTTCCCCAGGCTCATGGTGCTGGGGGACTTTAACCTGCCATCATTTGGCGAACCGTCAGATGTGGCTCAGGAGTTCATGGCTTCCATGACAACCATGGACCTGACCCAAGTAGTTCAGGGTCCGACCCATGGGGGGAACACATGCTCGACTTGGTGTTTCTCTCGGGGCAGTGGAGACGTGATCTGGAATTAAGGGCTACAGATGTTTCTCCTTTGTCATGGTCAGATCATTTCCTGCTTTCCAGATCATTTAGGATGCCACTCCCCCATCGCAGGGAGGCAGAGCCGATTAAGTGGTTCCGCCCCAGGTGCCTAATGGACCCTGCAGGGTTTCAGAAGGAGCTTGGGGAGATACCTGACTCCCTTGTCCACAGCCCGGTGGAGACCCTGGTTGTTGCCTGGAATAAGGCAGCATCTGGGGCACTGGATCAGATTGTGCCTTTGCGACCTCTCAAGAGCAGTGGATCCAGGACCATTAAAGGAAGCGGTTGTAAGACCCCTTCTCAAGAAGCTTCCTTGGACCCAGCAGAATTAAAGAACTTTCGTCCAGTCTCCAACTTACCCTTTGTAGGGAAGGTTGTAGAGAAAGTGGTGGCACTACAGCTCCTACGGACATTGGATGAAACAGATTATCTGGACCCTTTTCAATCTGGCTTCAGACCTGGCTACAGCACGGAAACTGCTTTGGTCGCACTGATGGATGATCTCTGGCGAGCCCGTGATGGGGGTCATTCCTCTATCGTGGTGCTACTTGACCTCTCAGCAGCTTTCAATACCATCGACCATGGTATCCTACTAGGCCGACAAAGGGATTTGGGAGTGGGAGGCACTGTGTTACGGTGGTTCTCCTCTTATTTCTCTGGTCGGTCACAGTCAGTGTTAATAGGAGGACAGAAGTAGACCCCTAGGCCCCTTGTTTGTGGGGTGCCTCAGAGCTTGGTCCTCTCTCCCCTTCTATTCAACATCTACATGAAACCGCTGGGGGAGATCATCCGATGATACAGGGTGGGATATCAGCAGTATGCCAATGATACCCAGCTGTATATCTCTACCCCGCATCATTTCAGTGAAGCAGTGGATGTGATGTGCCAGTGCCTGGAGGCTGTGAGAGTCTGGATGGGAGTCAACAGGCTCAGACTTAACCCAGACAAGACCAAGTGGCTGTGGGTATTGCCTCCCAAGGTCCATGTCAATTGTTCATCCTTAGCCCTGGGGGGTGGGAGAAGCTGTCCCTCTCAGAATGGGTTCGCAATTTGGGTGTCCTCCTTGACCCACAGCTGAGATTAGAGCAACACCTGGCAGCTGTGGCTAAGGGGACCTTTGTACAGGTTCGTCTTGTACACCAATTGCGACACTACCTGGATCGGGAGGCTCTTTTCACAGTCACTCATGCCCTTGTCACCTCACGGTTGGATTATTGCAATGCGCTCTACATGGGGCTACCCTTGAAAAGTGTTCAGAGACTACAGTTGGTCCAGAATGCAGCCACTCGAGCTGTTGTGGGTGAATCTAGGTACTCCCACATTACACCAATCCTTCGTGAGCTGCACTGCCTTCCTATCGGTCTCTGGTCACAATTCAAGGTGTTCGTTATTACCTTTAAAGCCCTATATGGCTTAGGGCCAGGCTATCTTTGAGGCCGTCTTCTACTGCATAGCTCCCAGTGACTGGTAAGAGCCCACAGAGTTGGCCTCCTCTGGGTCCCGTCAGCTAAACAATGTCGGCTGGCGGGTCCATGGGGGAGGGCCTTCTCTGTGACTGCCTCGGCTCTCTGGAATCGGCTACCTCCTGAGGCCCGGACCACTCCCACCCTACTGGCCTTCCAGAAAATGGTGAAAACCTGGCTTTTCCAGCAGGCTTGGGGCCATTGATCTCGCCATTGCGATCTTGCGAGATCCAGCCATGAGCAGTGTGTATGGGGTTTTTTTAAAAACATTTTTTATTGTATATTGTTCACATTGTTCTTGTTGTAAGCCGCCCAGAGTCCTCGGAGAGTTGGGCAGCATAGAAATATGAAAAATAAATAAATAAATAAATAAATAAATAAATAAATAAATAAATAAATAAATAAATAAATAAATAAAACAAATATGTTTTAATGGTTAATATAGATTTGACAGCTCCAGTGGTTGTACAAGATGGACTGTTGGCTTGTATCTAGAGTGATTTTGGCTGGTAAACTGGTTTGAGCATTTTATACTGGTAACAATTAATAAATACTGAATGAGACTGAAAGAAGACTCACCAAAAGATTTAAAGAAAAATATGGGGAAAGATCTGTTGAAGAGAAAAAAGCACACAGAACACTATTCTAATAGGCCATGGATCAGAAGAACAAAGAGCTGGAGAGCAAAATCTATCAGCTGTCTGAGGGATGGTAAATTGTTAATTTGTTTTATAACAACTTTCCTCAAACCTGGCTGAGTTAATAAAAGCAGTCCTAGTTCCAAATTGTAAATAAACTAAAATATCTAGGTATTATTATATCAGCCAAATGCTCCACGATCAAAGAAGACAACTATCTGAACCTTTTCAAGAGAACAGGTCAGGATCTAGAGAAGTGGAAGAACATGCAGATATCCCTACTAGGTAGAATAGCAATTATAAAAACTTACATACTCCCGAAATGGATATACCTATTCTATACAGCACCAGCTAGATTGGATAATAATTTCTTTAAAAAACTAAATTACTATGTCCTTAAATTCCTCTGGCAAAATAAAAAACCCAGAATCAAACTTAAAATGCTTCAAGAGCTTAAAGAAAGAGAAGGATTTGGTGTTCCAAAATGGGAATACTACTATCAGGTCGCAAATTTAGTCTGGATCAGGGATTGAATACTGTTGAGAAGAAGGAGGTTGTTGATCTTGGAAGGGGAGGGGCTACATCAAGGTTGGCATTATTTTCTTTGGCAAAACAGAACCCCAAAGCACAGGTGCCTTGCAGGACATTATGTGAGGAATATTCTAATTGAGTCCTGGAGGAAAATTAAGGGTAAATTTTACTCTTCAATCCCCTCTTGGCTGGTCCCACTCGAAGCTATAACGTATAGGCCTCTATATAACAAAGAAAATCATCTCTCTTACCGGGAAATTTTGGACCCCCATGGTAGTCTGAAATCAAGAAATGAGTTGGAGTTGCAGGGAAGACAACTGGATTGGTGGGCTTATGCCCAAATTTGCTCGAAATTTAAAAAAGATAGGGAACAAGATGGTATTAATTTGAATCAGCATGATCTGGACAATATCATTCTAGGAAAAGAGGACAAAATGTTATCAAGGATATATAAACTTTTAATAGACTATTGGATAGGGGATGAAAGAGTTAAAGACTCTATGATTGCCTGGGGGAGAAATATTGGCTATCCAATTGATTTGACAAAATGGGAAGAAATCTGGCTTAAACATATGAAATTACTGTGGGCAACATCATACAAAGAAAATGTGTACAAGATGCTGTATAGATGGCACCTTCCACCTGCCCGTCTTTCTAAAATGTATTCAAATCTCTCACCAAACTGTTGGAAGTGTGGGGAGATTGGCACCTATTTCCACATGTGGTGGACCTGCTCCAGGACGACTGAATTCTGGAAAATTATACAGGCATGGATCATGGAAATCACAGGTTATAACTTAATTCTGAAACCAGAGTACTATCTACTGAACATCAGGCCAGACAACATAGGCACAAATATATGGTGTCTGTGTGTATTTATCACCACGTCAGCAAGAATATGTTTCGCCCAACATTGGAAGGGGAAAGACCTGCCGGCTGAAGATTTGATTTTGGAGAAAATTTTGGATTATGCGGAAGCCGACAGACTGACTAAAGCATTGAGAGATCAAAAGGATTCCATATATTTCCAACGTTGGGACAAATGGTACGTTTGGTTGAACAACAGACGCCCAAAAAGTCAAGTATAACCAGGATTATGTTTAATATATGTTAAATCTGACTGAAGCTTACATACCGTAGAAAGTGTAAATATCATGCAAAGTTCCTGTTGCAATCATTTGTTTGACTATTTCTTTTTTTTGATGTATTGTTTTAAATAAATAAAAAAATAAATAATAAATAAATAAAAGCAGTCCTAGTAATTAGTGATATGAACCACATATAATAGGCTTATATTATGATGGTAAATGCTTGGTTAGAGAAGAAAGGGAAACCACCCACACAAAAGAATGCAAATTCATTAGCAATACTGGAGATGGTAAGATGAAAGGGCTTGATTGCTCTGATAAACCCTGGCTGATATCCAAATTATTTCTTTCTGTCTCCATAAAAAGGAATAAAGGGGGGAAAAGAAAAGAAAAAGGACACGGTGGTGCAGTGACTAAGATGCTGAGCTTGTTGACCTAAAGGTCGGTAGTTCAGCAGTTTGAATCCCTAGTGCCGGATAACAAGGTAAGCTCCTGTTAATTGTCTCAGCTTCTGCCAACCTAGCAGTTCGAAAGCATGTAAAAAATGCAAGTAGAAAAATAGGGACAACCTTTGGTGAGAAGATAACAGCGTTATGTGCACCTTTGGTGTTTAGTCATGCTGGCTACATGACCACAGAGACGTCTTTGGACAACGCTGGTTCTTCGGCTTTGAAACGGAAATGAGCACTGCCCTGTAGAGTCGGGAATGACTAGCACATATGTTCAAGCGGAACCCTTACCTTAAAACAAAACATTGAAACCTGTGTGATCCTCCTACCTGTTTCAATCAGATCCTGATTGAACCTGTGTGTATCCTGTAACAAGTACAAAAAAGGAGGAAATATTTATTTTTATTTCTTTGTTTATTTCTGTGTTTATTTATTACATTTATATATTGCCCATTTCACCAATAAGACAATTCTGGAGGGTGTACAAATGGTTAAAAAGATATATATGAAATAATTAAAATTAATAAGATTTACTATGTATAATACTCAGGGCGGAGTTTTCATTTAAGAAGTAGTAAAGGCTATTCCTGTTCACTTGTGCCTTTAGTCTCATGACTTTCCTTGTAGGAGTCTCCACTACTCTTATCCCAGAAAAACAAGTACAACCAACTCCCACAAAAGCATCTGTACTTGAAGCAATTGTCAACAGTATGGCTTTTCCACAGGATCCACTGTTCTTTAACAATCTCTCCCACTCCAAGAGTGGAGGTTAAGAAAAGTAGCAAGCAGGGGTGAAATGGTTCCAGTTCAGACTGGCTCGGATGAGTAGGTAGCGAAGATGGCCGGTGGTTCGGAGAACCAGTAGCAATGGCAGCTGGAGGCTCTGCCCACCTGCCCACCCACCCCATTCCCCAGAGTTGGGGAATGCACCATTCCCTGACTCCAGCCTTGCCACGGAGCTGCTGCCTGCTCACCCTTTGCCATGCGATGTATCCTACTGTTCACCTTTCTCCTGTGGCTGGCTGTCAGGGAAGGCAAGCAATCGAAAGTTACCGGAGTCGCTCACTCTCCTTCTTGAATGAGCCACTCTCGTCCACGCGCTGGCTGCGCAAGCGCACACCATTTATTTAATTCACTCATCAGGTTGGGTGTGCGCTTGCCCAGCCAGTGCATGGACCAGAGTGGCTCATTCAAGAAGGAGAGTGAGCGACTCTGGTAACTTTCAGCTGCATGCCTTCCCTGACAGCCAGCTGTGGGAGAAAGGTGAGCAGTAGGAGTCAGGGAATGCATTCCCCAACTCCGGGGAATGGGGCGGGTAGGCGGAACCACGTGGCGAAGGGCAAGCAGGCACCAGTTCTGCGGCAAGGATGAAGTCGGGGAATGGTGGATTCCATGACTCCAGGGAATGGGCGGGTGGGCGGAGCCACTTGAGAAAGGTAAGGACACGCCGGCAGAATAGAAATTTAAAAAGTGGGCATGGCTTGGTGGGAGGGGTCTTGTGACTGAGTGGGCGTGGCTGTGAGTGACATCGAGTTGGCCATGCCCACTCAGTCACAGGACACCCCCCCACCAAGCCACGCCCACAGAACCGATAGGAGAAATTTTAGATTTCACCCCTGGTAGCAAGATATATAAAATATAAAATAAGGTTTGCAAACGCATGGACAAAATTTTCCATGCTGCTAAAGACTTCTAAATATAAAGAAATGCAGTTAAAATATTACATAGTTTTCTACTTGTTTATGAAAAGGCACAGACCAAAAACACAATTAAAATATCAAATGCCCAACATAAGCCCCCTGTTTATAACAGACACTAAGCATAACTAGATGTTATTCAAATTCAGTGACTTCTAACCATCATAGCAGAGAAAATAACCACTTTAAAAAAAAATGTCTGCATTCTGATCATTTCATAAGAAATGCACCATAGCCTGTTTAGGACAGCCTGATTGGTTTATGAACAGAAGGAAGATTACCTCTAACACTTCAAAAGTACATGGGTAGCAGGAGTAAAATGCTACTGGTTTGGACCGATTCACCCAAACTGGTAGTAATAAATGCTATCAGTTCAGGCGAACCGTTAGTAAAGAAAATGCTACCAGTTCAGGCAAACCGGTATTTCTGACGATCAGCTGTGCCACATGATTTATATTCACTAGAAAGCAGGAAATCTTGCTTTCTAGCGAATCTAAATCATGCAGCATAACTGCCCCCCCCCTCGCTGTTCTACTTACCTTTGAAGTCTCAGAAAAGGCTTCTTTATCCTCCTTTTTCAGCACTGTGTGGTAGTGCCTGTGGTATGCATGCATGCGAAGCGCATGTTTGGCACACACTGCACATGCATGCACAAAGCTAACCGATAGCAGACTTCAGAGCATTTCACCCCTAATGGATAGAATTTATTAATTAATAAGTGGTCATGGTAGGGAATATCACTGATAGGGAATAATATTGAGTGGTATATAAGAGTGGTATCGGGTATCAGCAATATCCCTGGCATCTTTAATCAAATCTTCATCAATCAAATTATCTTCCTCCTAACTCTACTGTATTGCGCTGTATCTTCTTCATGGCACTGATTTCTATGCATAAGAAAGTTCAGTGAGGCAACTTTATTTTTCTTTTATTAATAAATTTAAATAACTAGATTTTGGGGGACTACTTATTGAATATAGTACCAAGCTTTGTCCAAGCTCTATGGCAGAAATCCCACTGGCGATTTATAGTGTTTTCTAGCATCACGCAGTCGCCACTGATTCCGTAGAAAGCCTGTCCTCAATACGATTACATCAACATAGTAATGGTTGAGTAACTATAGAGAATGCTATAACTCAGCAGTGAAACTCTTGTCTAAATGTTCAAGGGAGGAACATAACAAATGTTGATATAAAACTTATCAAAGCATTGCATTAACATAAAGCAAATGTTTGGTCTGTAAGGTTCTTGCTTATTTGGTCCTGCTTGAGTACTTGCAAGTATTCCACAAAAAGAATAGAAATGTAAAGACAACATAATTAATGGACTTGTACATTCTAGAATGCTTAAGAGCTTATATCTGTACAGTATATGAGTCAGCTAAGGTTCTTGCTTTAAGACATGCTTTTAGAAATAACCTCACTTGAAATCAATTGTTAATTTCCAAGTTAATATGCTGAGGAACTGAAGTGTCATGATTACTGAAGTCTCTAGCAAGACTTTAACTGAACATGGATAATCTATTATGTAAACATAACAAAGTATTTGTAAAGAACTTGTGATAATTTTCTCTACATTAAAGAACTTCTTCAATTTAAAATGCCCTGATTTATAAACCGAAAAAGACTCAAAACAGATACAATCTTCTGAATTATTAAAGTGTGATGATTGAATACTCATTATGAAATCTATAATATATCTATGAACATATAAAATTGCATTCATCTATCTAATTTGAATTGCTATCCATTGGTGACAGATTTCCAAAATTTCTGGAGGATAAAAGTAAACTGTATCTTCTACCACTGAATTTCAGTCTTGTATTCACTAATGTGAAATTAGATGCATAACCTCTGGACTGAAGTCTACAATTAGTGGTATGCTGAAGGTTATAATCCAGAAGTAGTGTGGAGCTTGGTACAAAAATGAAATTATATCTTTTATTCCATTTTATTTCTATTTAATAAAGATTTCATATAATTACTATATCTGTTATATTTTTTATCATGTAAAAACACTAAAGATGTGCTATGTTCCTTCTTGCTTCAAATGTTCTACTATCATCCCAGTGCCGAAGAAGCCCACTATCAAGGAACTGAATGACTACAGACCAATTGCTCTAACATCTGTACTCATGAAAACCTTTGAAAGGCTAGTGCTGTCCCACTTGAAAACTATCATGGATCCGCTGTTAGACCCCTTGCAATTTGCATACCGAGCAAATAGATCAACAGATGCTGCTGTTAATATGGCTCTGCATTACATCCTACAACATCTTGAATCTCCAAAGACCTACGCAAGAGTCCTCTTTGTAGACTTTAGTTCAGCATTCAATACCATCATTCCAGACACACTTCTAACTAAGATAAACCAGCTACAGGTACCTGAACACACTTGTAAGTGGATCATAAGCTTCCTAACAAACAGAAAGCAGCAGGTGAAGCTAAGCAGAATCACATCAGATACCTATACAAGTAGCACAGGGGCTGTGTGCTCTCCGACTTCTCTCTGTATACCAATACTGCATCTCTAACGATCCATCTGTTAAATGACTGAAGTTCACAGATGACACAACAGTGATCAGTCTCATTCGAGACAATGATGAATCCGCATACAGACGGGAGGTTGAACAACTATCCTCGTAGTGTGACTGGAACAATCTGGAACTGAACACACTCAAAACCATAGAAATGGTGGTAGACTTTAGGAGAAACCCTTCCATACTTCCACCTCTCACAATACTAGACAACACAGTATCAACAGTAGAAACCTTCAAATTTCTAGGTTCTACCATATCACAAGATCTAAAATGGACAGCTAACATCAAAAATGTCATCAAAAAAGCACAACAAAGAATGTTCTTTCTGCGCCAACTCAGAAAGTTCAAACTGCCCAAGGAGCTGCTGATACAGTTCTACAGTAGAATTATTGAATCTGTCATCTGAACCTCCATAACTGTCTGGTTTGGTTCTGCAACCCAACAAGACAGACACAGACTTCAGAGGATAATTAGAACTGCAGAAAAAACAATTGCTACCAACCTGCCTTCCATTGAGGACCTGTATACTGCATGAGTCAAAAAGAGGGCTGTGAAAATATTTACAGACATCCCCCCCCCACCCGCAGCCTGGACATAAACTGTTTCAACTCCTACCCTCAAAATGATGCTATAAAGCACTGCACACCAGAACAACTAGACACAAGAACAGTTTTTTCCCGAACACCATCACTCTGCTAAACAAATAATTCCCTCAACACTGTCAAACTATTTACTAAGTCTGCACTACTATTAATTTTCTCATTGTTCGCACCACCCATCTGTATGACTGTAACTTTGTTGCTTGTATCCTTATGATTTATATTGATATTGTTTCCTGATTGCTTATTTGTACCCTACAATTATCATTAAGTGATGTACCTTAGGATTCTTGAGGGACTTATCTTTTCTTTTATGTACACTGAGAGCATATGCACCAAGACAAATTCCTTGTGTGTCCAATCACACTTGGCCAATAAAAAAATCTATTCTATTCTATTCCATTTGCTATTTTTCACTGTTGTCATCTTAAAACTTAAAATTTAATAACAACTCTTAACAGGTCCCTGAAGGTCCTACCAAAGACTATTTGGGGTCACATAAAGCCTTGATGATTTAGGTGGTGTACCACGGTTTTCAATATGTTAACATACACATGCTTAAGGAATTGATTGCTACTATATTTCTCTAGAAGAAAAGGATAATAAAAAGAGTTGTGATCAGCATCCAATGGTTAGCCTCTCAGGACTCACCCATTCATACTTCTTACAAAATGTTCCTGCTTTTTTTCTGACACCTAAATATTCAGAGGAAGAAGCTACAGTTCTTCCTACCTAACCACTTATGTATAGGCATCCATAGAGGAAGAGAGGAGGGGGAGAGAGAGAAAGAGGGGACATCACACTATCAGAACAAATAGGTAGAGCTTGCATTGTGATGTCATAATATAAGTTTTATCATTCTGGTTTCATTATAGTTCATTTGAAGATAAGACAACTGTTTCCATCTAAGAAGAGCTAAAGACATTTATTGGTGAAGATTTCATCTATTTAATTATTTTAAGAATATATCAATATTTGCAATTTTTTCATATACAGAAAGGATTCTTTTTTAAAAAAAATCAAAAGTGAAAGATTTCTTCTTCTATAATCCTGATTTATTTCATGGCCAAAATAAGTAGAAAAGGAACTATGAGACATGGAATCATATTACATTTTAACATATGAAGTTCCAACAGAGATTAAAAAGTTATATTGTCTTCTACTGATGATGACATCATAATTCTGGTTTCGGATGGAAAAGAATTATTGGGTTGCCTAATTATGAAATAAATTATTAAAATACTTATAAATCTTCCAGATAAAAACCTGGAAATTTTAGGATCACACACATATGCCAATGCTTCATTGATAGCGAATGCATCTTTGGTATTGTTACTATTATATTAAATAAGAAACAGGAAATAGATTAAAATTTTCAAGAGTTAGTAAAGGTTATTTGTATAAATATGTAAAGATCTTCATTAGCTGTCACAAATCATCTTTCAGTTTAATATCTTTTCCTCAAGAAACTTCATATCACATTTGTTGTCCTTCCTTGGTCTACAATATTATTTTAGGTACTAAAGAGTATTTTCACAGTATTCTAATATAATTGATTTCTATAATTATAGTATCAGCAGTTTTATTTTGTTAATTATATTTTCACTTATTCCTAAAATTGATTTTACCTTTTCTAAACGCAGCAGCCCACTAGTGCTGCTATGTTATTGACCTACCCATCATACCACTTTGACATCTATCATTACATCAAGCTCTATTTTCAAATATTGAGAGATTAGGTAGGAACTGAACCAATCAGTATGGTATTTACTTACACTTTGCTTACATTAAACTCATTTTCTACATTAGCGGCATTCTTCTGATCTGATGCAGCTGGAAAACTTAACTTTGTGAATATGTTAGAAATGCTGTTATCAATGCACTACTAATTTTCTTCCACTACAAGGCCCAAATTTGTATTTCTAATCTGCTACCTGTTCTTTAAATAATTACAGATCCTTAACCAGATGTGTTCTCTTATTATGTCTGGTAAATTTGTTTATGAACCTTCCAGAAGAGCCTTTGTCAAAATGCTTTTTAAAATCCAGTTTTGTTACCTGTCATTTGCAGTTCTTTTACCAAGAACTTTGTTTTTGGATCATTTTTGGACATGACCAAACCTATTATGTCAGGGTGTTTAAGGTCACTTTGGAGTCCCATGCTGGTTTGAAACCAGAACAAGTCCCCCCCCCCCGTTCCTCTCTCCCTATTATTACTTATGTATAGAAGTTTTCCAAGCACTTCTACACATAAGTAATAATAAAAACAGCACTGTTGAATCCAACTATTTCCAAACCACAATCATTGGTATTTTTCAAAGAATAGGAAAAAAGAATGACTAAACAAAGAAGTAGCACAAAAATTCAGCATAAAGACAACAGTTCTTTTTTCCCTTTGTCACCTTACTAATTGCAATTCAAATAGTGACATGCTATCGTGTCACCAGGGCTGACATGATCACAGTGTTCCAATATTTGAGGGGCTGTCAAAAAGAAGAGGGGGTCAACCTATTTTCCAGAGAACCAGAAGGCAGGATAAGAAACAATGGATGGAAACTAATCAAGGAGAGAAGTAACCTAGGACTAAGGAGAAATTAACCAATGGAATAGCTTGCCTACATAAGTTGTGGCTGCTCCATCACTGGAGACGTTTAAGAAGATTCTGGACAGACATTTGTCTGGAATGGTATAGGGTCTCCTGCTTGAGCAGGTGGTTGGACTAGAAGACCTCCAAGGTCCCTTCCAACTCTATTATTCTGTTAAATAATACCTTACATAATGAGGCTTCAATTTTGCTATACTTTTCCACCAACATTGTACACTGAAGCTTGGATATGGTATAGCAATAGTGGACTATTCACCTCTGTTGCAGCCCATGGTGTCTTTTTAATCCCCATGATTGTTTGGTTATTTGTCTACTTTATAGATTGTCATATTTCATAAAGTCTTCCAATGGTTTATAACATACAGAGTACAATAAATGGTAATCAAATTTCATGGTAATCAAATTAAGGATTAATTAGGAAAATCAAATTAGAGTATATTAAAATGTTCACAGTAGTATTACATAATAAATAATTAAACCATTCATAAAATAAAATGAGCATTTAACACAATCAAAATAAAACATCATCTAATTAACCAACAATTCCCTCCAGAAGTTAGTGCAGGGTCTGAAAGAGAAGGATAATATATTCCTGGTAGTAAGCATGTACTAATAAGCAAGCCACCAAATTTCACAACAGTTCTTCTTTGAGAAGCAGCCACATTGGATAAAATAGTATCTTACAAATATTGGTTAGAACTCACATTACCTTTTTTTGAAAATTATTCTGAGATTGACTGCTGTCAGATACACTTTATGGCTGAACCATCTATATTTCATCATAAATGTATAAACATTAACACAAGGACTTTCTGTGTTGTCTTCTCTTAAATTCTTTTCCAGTTGTTTGGTGGACAAAAATATTTTCATATAACAGTAAAAATATTAGATATTCCTTAGGCAAGGTATTTTACACACACACACACACACACAGAGAGAGAGAGAGAGAGAGAGAGAGAGAGAGAGAGAGAGAGAGAGAGAGAGGGAGGGGAAGACATAGTCTTCAGTTTCACCTGCTTTCCTCAATATTTCAAGAAAATATTAACAATGCACAATTTTAGCAGATATATTTTAAAAAATGAAAATAAAATGTTTTGATATTAAAAATTATTTATGTTCGCCTTTTTAAATTATCGTTGCTCAGTCCCTTTTGATTTCTCTATTTTTATAGTTGTATAGCTTTTATAGCTGTATTCCTTTATCTTTCAGATATTTTAAGTTACCTTTTAATATTAACATTATATTTAATCTTACCTGCATTTTCACATTAAAAATATATATTAAACATATTTTCTTTAGCCTATTACAAATATTTATTCACTGAAAAAACTTACTCTATTTTTCAAAGAGTAAATAATAGATCTGTGTAGGTATTGAAAGAGGTCCTTTGCAATAAAAAAAAAACCTAACAAAGTGATTCTGCGTGTATAAACTTATGGAAAAATATCATAGCACTTTCAGGAAGAGCTGTGGAAGTGTGTAAAAAATGTGGTTGCTTTATTGATGTGAAGACAGGTGGTTTATATCCACTGACATGTTCTCCAAAACACTTTATCCTTTGTATTGTTCGGGTAAATAATTAGCATTATGACAGAATTTGCAATCTATATTTTCACAAGGCGGCAGTTTGTTCTGTGATGTTACTACTCCTTATTAAATTATAAACTATGCTCCTGTCTGCATAGATATAGATAATAAACGTAATAGTCTAGAACACCAAAATGCTACGATTCTCCATTTGTTAGATTAGATACTACTGGCTTTTAATTCATAGTTTTTATAATGTGCCCCAATCTGCAGTCTCTGGAAATGTACAACAACAACAACAACAACAAAACCCACTACAAAGTAAAGACAAAATTAAAGGCATAAATGTAAGACAAATTGTTCTTCAGACGATAACTAGAAATGATCTAGTTAAAAACACAATAAAATAATGTTGCTTTAACAGCTTTTGGTAATGACATGAAAGAAACAGATGCTTGAACCTCCAGTGGCAAGAAGTTCTAGACCAGGGGTGTCAAACTCATGTTGTCACGGCGCCATCACATGACATATCAGGCCATGATGACACTATGACAACGTGAGTCAGGACTTTTTTCCCCTTTGCTAAACCGGGTGTGGGTGTGGCCAGCATGTGACACATCCGGCCTGTATGCCGGGAGTTTGACAACCCTGTTCTAGACTATAGGGTCTGTGGCAATGAAGTACTGCCATCTGATAATTTTCTCCTCATCTGTGACAGAGTGAGGATGCTATCAGGATTTCTTGTGATAGATATATTGGATCGTCCGATTCCATCTTTGAACAGCACTGCCTGTTGAAATCTAATGCTATGTGCTATTATCCCTTTAATAGTTAGTCACCAGGACTTTGAATGGGGTCCAGACACTTATTATTAATCAGTAATGTGGCTTTAGTAGTGGTGCTCCTAAGGGTTACAATCCTGCGATCTCAATACAAGAATCTTGCAGTTTGAGTTAAATTAAAGGGCATCTTACCTATCTGATACAGATTTAGAAAACAGTTTCACAGAATCTACTAATAGTGTTTAATTTTTTAAAAAACATGGATCAGCAACTCCCAGAATTGGTGCAACAAAATATAGATTTTCTGCAGTTGACTTCTTTCCTACATATATTTTATTTTTTGCATAGTAAGTAACTTATTTAGGGCAATGTTAGTATATTTGTCATAAAATATATTTCAATCATCAATTCGGGCATTCTCTTTTTTATTTTATTTAAATCAGATATTAGCTTTATTTAGATTTTGTTACTTAGGGTACCTATAAAAGATTGAAGAATACAGAATATTCTGCTATATAGTGACAAATACCACTATTGCAAATATTTCCTATTTCTTCTGCAAATCAGCAGCATAGCACTGAGTAAAGAATATTTTTGGAATATTAGATATCAGTAATTTTTGTATTTTAAACAAAAATTAAAGAACAAATGAAAAAAATAGGCTTGCTCAATATAATAACAAATAGCTATTGCTACAGATGATGAAATTCTAAATATAAGAAAAACTATTCCTTCTGGCAAAGGAGTATCATTTTTCCCCCTGGAATCCACTGAGAATAATTTCTGCTCACAGTTATTTAGCACTATATCAGAATGGTGTTCCTGTGTAGATACTAAATTGCATCATTTATCTATATGGCACAATCATATTCTATATGCAGG